AAATTGCTTACATTAACTAACTTAAATACAATTATATAGTTTTATAAAATTTTATTTTATTTTTTTTCGTATTCCATTTTAGGTAAGCTAAATTAACCTTAATAACGTAATTATAATAAAAAAATAATGGCAACTTAGTTTAATAAGTTGAAAAAAAATGTAGTTTAATTTCATATCATTATTATTAAGTGGGTGTTGTGAATTTGTAGGGTTAAAGCAATATAAAATAATTAAAATATAAATGTATTTATATGTATGTATTTTTTTGTTATAAAAGCAAACGATATGTTTAATTTAACTAAAAAGAAAAATTAGCTTATATTTTATCTATTCAGTCTTTTTTTTTTTATGTCCACCCACTATTAGACCTTTCTTATGTCAAGTGATCTGTATTAAAAGATCTATTTTTTTTTTTTTTTTATGCTGTAAAGTACATATGCAATTTAAAATAATAATAATATGTATTATTTTCGTGATTTTATTTAAGTATAAGGAGCATCTGCATTTTTTTGTATCATTGTGTTAGTGTATTATGAAGTATAAAATAACTAATAGATATTTATTAATTTAGATAGCTATAATATCTCAATTATAAAACTTAAAATATTTTCTGTTTTTATTATTATTTAAAAAAAAAAAAAACTACAGAATATATTCAAGTTATTTGTTAAGAAAATAAATTAAAACAGTTTATAGAATCAACTTTCTTTAAAATAGTTGTTAAATGGCGTTTTTATTAAATTATGCGGGAAATATAAAGACCATTGTTGATAATTACTAATTAGTACCTTAAACATCAAATGTTACAATAAATTGTTATAAATTATTATTAATTATTTCAGATATTTTGTTCAAAGTATATCATTTTTCCGAATATGGGAAGACCATGTTTACTTTCATATGAATGGATTTTATTGTATTTTTTCCTTTGTTATTCTCTTTCACGCATGAATAGTTCAAAGGAAAACGGTCAACATAAATTTGGATTTCAGCTTGCGTAAAGTTATACATGGATGTACTATTATGGATAATTTTTTTTTATTGTGTGTGCTCACATTCTAGGATTTCAAAAGTGTTTTGAATCATCTATTCTTTTGGTCATATAAAGCAACAATAAAATCGATATCATGTGAGATGAAAAATTTACGTTTTGAAGAGTAGCAGTGTAAAATTCAATAATAATTATATTAAAAATTTAACAACATCGATAAATCATCATCAGAACTCAATTATAATATAATATATATATATTAATGAGCTCTTTAATATATTACGAATTTATAACGTAACATATTGTAATACTTACATCAAACTCCTATTTTAAATATTTTTTTTTGCCATTTTGTTTAGTTTCTGGGTGTTTTAAATCAATCGTAATGAGATGTTATGCTGTTATTTTAATCTATTATTGATAAAGGTTGAGTATTAAATGAAAGCAGCTTAAATTATTGGACATTTAGCGATATAATATAGCTAAAATAGGATGAAAAAAATGTTACTTTTTATATTTTGTAGCTATAATATTTAATATAACCTTTATAATCTATAGACCAATATTTTATAAGACCTATTTAAGACATATAATTTTATTATATCTGTATACTTTCATTCTAATAATGGGGTATTGGGATATTATACATGATATACGGTTTTATTATTTAAACAGATCAGCGTTGACCCATTACTAGGACACATCTGCCTGATATTTTACCTAGTTTTAAGGAGTATTTTGATAATAAAAATTAGTTGTATGTAAATATAATATAATTATAGCATTCAGTGCGTTCGCTATAATCAATATAGGTTAAGTAATAAATAGCAGTACATCTCAAATCACCATGCATTACAAACAAATCGAATCTAAACGTATTTGCAATTTTATCTAAATTTATCCTGGTACAAAGAAAAATCAAAACTAAATCGTTTTGCTTACCTTTTTGTAATAATGGAATGATTCAAGTGTATTTACATGTTTAGTTTTATATCCGTTGATAAAAAGAAACCAATAAAATTGTCAGCAAAAAAATCGCCAAATTACTTTATGAACATGATAATCTTTTATGATTTCAATAACACGTTAATGTACATAATTATTAAAGTATGTAATATAAAACCTATCTGTCCATAACAGTGTCATAACTGTCACAACTATGGACACATTTCTATCTATCTAATAATACTTCTTACCGTGTCAAGATGTGTTTAAAAAGATAATATTTTAAACCACTGTGCAAAAGATAAAAGCAGTCAAGCCTAGTCCATAACCTTCCGAGTGAGTGTTTATATACATTCAAATTCAAGTGATGTTTAAACTATAAATCTCTTTACGAGCACTGAATCATCAATAAGCATCTTAATCTTTATAAAAAAATAAACCATGTTTTTTTTTTTTGTTTACTGCACCAATCATATCAATGCATGCTTGTGTTGCAAATAAATCTTATCTTAAATTATGTTCTTTAGATAGCTACAAATAATTAATTAATATTTTAATTAGAAAAAAAACAGTTATTAACAACCACTTACTAGTATTTTTTATTGAATTATAGAAAATTAAATATTTAAATCACACATTTAAGTTTAATAGATATGTATTACTAAATATTTCATCAAAAAATGGATAGCAATTATTTTATAGGTTACAATGTTATTTAATGTTATTTAATTTAACTGCACTATATAAAGTTGAGGTTAAAGTGTATTTAATTTATTCCTTACAAACTGTCGACCACTTTGCGTTTAATAAAACTGACTTTCTTCAAGTTTACTTGAATATAAGTATTTCAAAATGTACTCTAGCCTTTCTACTTCACGAAAAAAAAATACTGTTTTTGACTGATTTACTGTAAAAGTTTAGTTTCTAGAGTGCTACGATCACCACTTGCATTACACTATTTGTGTATAGGTATATATATATATATAATGTATATATAATAGAACCTAACTTAATCTGTACACATGTGTAATGGTATCCATCTAGGTTGGAACGCGTGTCCATGAGCGCTATTGGTTTGAAAGGGGAGTTTGTTTACGACGTAAACTTTTAATGATATGAAATGTAAGACGCGGAGGATTACGGAAAGAAAAGAAACGAATACGATGTTCGACAATTTGACTTGTCAATAAAATATTGTTTACCCTTCAATAGTTCTGAATAACAACAGTATATGGTCTTATCCGACTATTTTTATTTTTAAATACAATCCAACGGATGTTTATGTTAGGATAAAGGCTGCTTGAATAATGTTTTCACTGTGCTCAATATACAGTATGTTTCACATTCACCAAATATATTCATCACTTTTTATAAATTCAATAATACCTAATAATTAAAAATTGAACATTAATTATATTGCTTTAAAAATGTTTAACATAAGATAAATGATAAATAAAATACTTAGTCTATAATTTATTAAATTGAGAAAACTATTAATAATAATTGGTATAATTTATATAAATCAACATAATTTCAAATTAATCATAGCAATCATATTATCTCCTAAACCTAGTATAATGTATTCGGGACTAAGTAGATGTTAGTTAAATTAATTTTAAGTTATTTAAATTATAACTGGTTATAATTTTTATCATAATTTTAAGTACAAAATAAATTTTTATAAAACTCAAAATTTTTTTTTTAATAGGTCATAATTAGACAATATTAATATAATTATTTTTTTTTAAATGTCAATAGTCATTATTGACTGCTATTTATTTCTTTGTACATGGTTTAAACTTTATTGTTCGATCATAATTGTGTTATTCCATACATTGACTTAGTACTTATGTTTCAGAATTTAATAATAAAAATAATATAATACATTTTACAAATAAAAAATGTTTTATTTTATAGTATGATAAATTGGTAGTTATGCTTTTTAAGTGTATTCTCCCTGTTTCAGTGTGTTATACAATAATTCAAATATTCAGTGTTTTACAATACTGGTATCCATATTTTGAGTCAACATACTAATGAGTACCTACATATTTAAAAAAAAAAACAGAATTCTTCAAGGGATCTCATTGTTAGTAACTATCTTCTTATTAGCAATTAATGATATAATCGACACAATAGAGACAATTGTAATAACTAATCTTTTTACAGATGAATTAAATTTTAATTAGAAGCCAAAATATAAACATTATACATTACTATCTGTAAAAAGTTATTGAAAATCTTACAAGGTGGTCAAACAATACCGGTTTCAATTTTTCAGTAAAAAATTCCAATAAATAATGTTCTCAAAAAAGAATTCAAGAAATTCCTCTGTTGAAAATAGACAACAAACAAATCCCACATAAATATAAAATAAAAATTATCGAAATTATATTTGATTCTAAACTTAGTTAGATATCTCACTTAAAATCTTCTAAAACATCAATACCATAGAAACTAAACATTATAAAAACCTTCGCAAACACAGCAAGGGTGGAAACATCTTCTCATTAATTAATATTTATAGAGCACTTATTAGATCTAAAGTCGAATATGGTTCAATAGTATTTAGAACTACCAACCAAAAACACTAAAAAATAAACGATACACCACTAAATAAGAGTATACCACTTGTGACCAGCCTCATCGAGAGGAGTTAGAAAACCTTAACTAATGAATTTCTACCTGTAACTTAATAGGATTTTTATTTTTAATTGTGTACATTTATTTGTTTGTTTTTATTTATAAGTTTAAAACAAAATAAATAACAAATATGGTTCATATACAGAATGGTTAATATAATTATTTATTTATACAATTGATATTCATGTAATACATTGTATCATAGATAATAGCTATAGAAAATATCAATGTGTAATTTAAATATTCATTAAACACTGTAAATATTATTAAATTTATTTGATTAACCATAAAATATATTAATATTTTATTTTAAGTAAAGTATAGATATACCAAAAGTACCTTGCATTGCTTTTATTTAACCTTATATTTATACATATACATATATGTTTACAAAAAATTATAAAAAACCATTTTATTTCAGATGGCAACTACTTTAACCGTTGCCGGAATGTGTTGGGCGACATTATCATTAGCAGCATCATTCCTGTGCAGTTTTGGATTCTATTTACCATTTTGGATACAGGTTGGATGATAAAATTATTTTCATTTTTTTTTTCTTTTTAATTCATATTATAATATTGTGTTACGTTTATGATATTATACACTTTATAAATTATAACACTAACTTATATTTTAATTAAAACGTTTATTTATAAATTTTATTAGTACCTACTTACTCTTTATTTCATTATGTTTAACACGTGTGGCATGACTTTATAAACATTTAAGTTTTTAAAGTTTATAGTTAAAAATCTCAAAATGTTAAATTAAGAGACAGTATAATAGATAGTCATCTATTTTTTTTAATATAAGCGCAGAATAATTATGTAATTTTTTTTTTTTTAAATTTGAAAATTTATGATATTAAATAATGAATTTAAAAAAAAATGTTTGGTTTATTTAATTTAATTAAAATACGTTTAAATCAAATTATAAAGTAATCATAATTTACTATAAATATAACTAAATACAGTCCAGCAAATTTTGGATTAATAAAATAAAAGTATTTAGTATCTAAAATTATAAAAATCAAACCGAATAGCTTAAGTATAATAATTATTGTTTTTAAATGTATGAATAAATATAATAATTATTAATTAAATGTTCTAACTTCTAAGTAATATATTTTGTATAATTGTATTTAAAATAAATGCAATTGTAAAACATATTTCACTTTTAAATGTATACAGAGTAGATAATACGAAATTTTCGGAGAGTTTCAACTTCCTAACACTTATTTTTGTTGATAAAAAAAAAAAAATAGTAAAAAAAAATACATATGTAAAAAAAAAAACGATAGTTTTTTAGTATGAAATAGAGCACAGTGTTTACTTTTCATATTACAAGTTAGGTATGTTTGAATGTCTTGGTGATGATTAACTATATCAATAAGTTAGTACTTTTATAATTTTTTTTTTCTCAGTTTTTAGATAAAATGTATCAATTTATTTATTCTGATTAAAAATAACACATTTAGTTTATCGACTGAACTTGTATTTTTAAGCTATGTAAATATAACGAGAGTAATCCTAAGGTCTCAAGATTTTGTAGAAATTTTCAGGTTTATGGAAACATTGACTTAAGAAGTTGTAAATAAATTTATCAATGTAATTGTTACATAAATAATGTATACCTATATTTTATATGAATCTATAGTATACCTAAATAAATGTTTTTTTCTACCATCTGACCGTAAAATTATTGTGAGACGTGAGTAAGTTTTGTTTATACTTTTTTTGGTAACATCATTTATATTTCATATTTTCTTGAACTATAAATTGTAATTTTAAGGTAATTTATCAATGTTTATGTTACTTGTTTATTTTTGTGACTGTTTTGATATAATTATTATTACCGTAGGTAAAAGAATCATAAAAAGACAAAATAAAATACATTTTTTCACTGAAATATCCATAAATATTAATATAAATCAATTTCCATTCAATATTGGATAGTAGAAAATTCCAAGCAAATAATAAACAATAAATATTAATTCTAATGTATTATACAGGTTGGAAAATATTTATTTATTCTGAGTGTGGAGGGTTGAATTGAAAATGATAGATTCATTTTGAATTCGAATGTCCAATGGGAATATAAATTACTGAATGCTTGAAACACAAATGACAATTTAACGAGAATATTTCATGATATTTATATTTTTCCTTTTCTACATTAATGTTCACAAATATTCTATAGTAATTTTCACCATTTTCTTGCATTCCATAACAAATGATTTATCTTCTTGCCTCTTGCTGAACATAATAACCAGAAATGAAATGCTGAAAATTCCTCTATATTTGAAATAAATATGATCATACCTTCAAAATATGTTCTTCGATTGAGATTCTATGTAACGTGTTAACAATATGGGTTCATTTTCCAATATTTGTTAAATTTATTACATGATATTGTGTAATGGAGTTTGATGAAAATGTAGTGTCGCTATCCATATATATTAGTTCATTTATAAGCTGAAAAGTATATCTCGTCTCAGTTTCTTCGTCAAAGAGCTTTTCTTTGAATTATATCCGGATACTTCTATCTTAAAATCAACTTCTTTAATCTATCTTTTAGACTCAAGTATATTATATAAAACAAAAAATTAGATTTTTGTAAGGCACAAAAAAAGTTTTCTAATTGGGATGTATTATGTAAAAGTATTGAATAAAAAACTTAATCTTACTGGGATTTACCTATAATAATATTAGCGTGTATTATGGTTGTAGCCTTAATTATTTTCTCTTGGTTATCATTCATTGTTAAACAAAGTGCAGGTTTATCATTATCAATATGTAAAATAATATTTGATAAAGTACAACAATATTGCATTTTTGTTGTTTAAAAATTTAAATATATTATAATTTATTTTTTAAATTTAATATTGTTTAATTAATTACTTTCGACTTTATAAATTTAAACTTATTTTTCTATTCATAATAAATTTACCATTTTCATAATTATAAACGATCAATAATATTTATTATTGAACATTAATAAGATTTATTAATGTCCATTAATTTTTTTTATATGAACTTTTCTATAACTATTTTTAATCTCATAATTTCGGAAACTAGACTTTTAAATTCATTAAATTTGACAAGAATTCTATTACTACAATTAATTCATACCTGTTGAACAATGTTTATAATATATAAAATTGTAAGTTAAACTGTCGCTAGCAATAGGGGTAATTAATGATCGATATTTTTATGTATAATTCTAATATATAGAATTCCTTTTCTGCGTATTAATCATTAGTATGTTATTACCGACCATTATCATACACTTTCAGTTTCCTAGCTGTAAAAGCATATATAACGCAAAATACGAGATGAGTGTTCCATCTTTGAAGTAATTTCAGCTAAGAAATGTGCGTAGTATTGTCGAACAAATATGTAGTTATTTTGTATGCATACGCGATGTATCAGTCATTATTCAAATATCCAAAAACTGCAATACCATGAATACTTGATTGTTTATTATTTTAATTATTATTATTATTATTTTTTTGTCCTCAAACGATTTTCATGAAATTTATAACGCTTTGACTGGGGCAACGAGAGTATAAAAAACAACGTTTTACTTGAATTACCCTCGTGTAAAGCAGACCGTGAGTAATCGTTTGGTTTCAAGTACCAGTTTTCCCCTCGTGCAGCTTTTTTGTATGTGCTTACTATCGAGTTTAAATTTTTTATCGTTTATTGGGAAATGCAAATAATATTCGGAAAGAAAGTTAAGCAACTTTAATACAATTAATTTTTTATCTCAAACACAGTAGGTATGATCAGCAATGTTGAATTAATGTTTTACTTGACTTCATGCATTATACTACTTGTATTCAAAAGGAACCGTTTCTTTTTAATTTATAACAGGAAAACGTTAAACATAAAAATGAATTTAATTTGGGATAAAAATAGTACAGTCAATAAAAATCTAAGTGAGCTAAATCGAATGAATATAATTTAAAATTAATTATATTACAACACGTATACTTATGATTTACTATAAAATATTAATGCTTAAACCAGTTATTTTATTAACGCTGTTAAAAACTAAATAATGAACAGCATATGTTAATAATTTACTTTATACGTGGAATTTTATTATTAAATTGCTTTTAAATAAATATAGTGTGGAATAAAATAATTATATCATTAACTGTATGTATCTTACTTAATCAATAAATCGTTATTCTTTACTTAATACTTTTAAAGTAGACAATGGAGATATTTTAAGTCATAGTTTTAAAACAATTCAAAGGAATCATACTTAAAAATATTTTTTTGTTAACTAGGTACTCATCTCATTTATCATTATTCACAATACTATCAGCTAGTATAAAACCAAGTATGATTTTTTATTTTCATAAAGTTTATATGGTTTATATCATTATACATATACTCGTATTTAAAATAAATAATGTTCTACAAACAATTAAAATAAAATAATTTAATATTTTTTTTTCACTTAAATATTGTATAATATATAGAGTTATAAAAAAAAAAAAATAATATATAATTTTTTTAAAGTTAATACATTTTTATATAAGACCTTTTCAATGTAAATAATTTGATATTGAACATTATAAACTTTAAAATGAAAAAGTAGCTAAAGGATTTATTTTAAGTGTATCTTAAATACTAGTGATGATTCATGAGTATTTTTGAAGTAAAATAATATTTTAGTAGTTAAGCAATTTGATTTTTGTTTAAACAATTATTTTAACACTATAACCAAAAATATTAATTATAATTTATTATGTTACATATTATCATTACTCAAAAAAATATGACTAAATAATTGGATTGTGAACTACTTGTGGTTTAATAATAGTTGTGTTTATACTTCTTTAGAATATTTTATTAAGACAAATTATAACTATGGTTAATTTCACAGTTATATGCGGCTTGCCAAATGTATTAAATTATTTTTAAGAATCGCAAAATTAATCAATTAACCAAAAAATTTAAAATTTAAGAAAAACACATGGCATTTTTTCTTAACACTTTTGATATATTTCAAATTATTCCGTTGCTTTTGGTACCAATAATATCTTATTATAAACAATAGACCATTACGTACATTTCTTTCAAATTTTACCACGTTAAAATATTCTCCTTTCACAACTCATGGCTATTGGTACTACACAAATAATATATTCAACGGTTAAAAACTATTTATTAACCATTACTTACTTATTACTATAACATAATTTCTCATAAAAATAATTATATCTACATGTATAGTTTTAATATTGTTCTTCAATGTTATATTAATTTATGCTAAAATCACATATTTTATAACTATTTTTTTATTATTATTATTTTTATTTTTATTATTTTTATTATTATTATATTATTATTATTATTATTATTATTATTATTATTATCATTAATTATTTTTATTATCCACTATTATTATTTAAATTTAATATTAATAGTAATAATAATGATATTATAATTTATTTTTGTATTTTTAATTAAATTAATAATTTCAAAGTAAATAATTATATGAAATAAA